TACGAACTGCTTCCGAGTGGTCAAATCATCAAAGGACCATTTTATCGAGCCCAACTAATTCGTTTGAAGCGGGCATTTGTGGAAAAACGGCCAGAATATCAGACCAGGCACGAGTCCGTAATTTTTCACCACGACAACGCTTGGCCACATGTTGCTGCTCCGGTCAAAAACTATATGGATAATAGTGGATGAGAAATTCTGCCTCACCAGTCTTATAGTCCAGATTTTTCGCCATCCGACTACCTGTTGTTTCGGTCGATGCAGAACAGTCTTACCAGAATGCGCTTCATTTCAGTAGAGGGAATCAAAAATTGGCTCAATACGTTCTTGGGCTCAAAAGACGGGACCTTTTTTTTGGTCCAGAATTCACAAATTGCCAGAAAGATGGGAACAAATTGTATCTTTCAATGGACAATATTTTGAATGAAAAATATGTTACTATTTTTTCGGAATAAACCCTCAAATTTTATGAAAAAACCCTGGAAACATACTTTTATACCCAATATATACTAAGATTCTCCCTTTTCTGATAAAATGTTGATTTAATATATTTCTAAATTATTTGATAAATTCGATCAAAACACAAAATAATATCACAATTACAATGAAATACATAAAATAATAATAAACGAAAAAATATAAAAAGCATAGTTAGATTATGTCATATGTAATTTCGACAAAAAAAAAACGTATGACGTGAATATATCGAAATAATGAAGTTGGAATACAGCGACATCTATTAAAAACTTACAGTACCTAAAGATCTAGATAAGCTTTAAACTATAAATCATTAAATTAGCAATAAAAAATAAAATTAATCGCTATAAAAAGTATCCAATGTCCTTAGTTGAAAAAAATGACACAAAATTAAAAAAATTTCGTTAAGATCGGTTCAGTAGCTTCAAAGTTCATTGGAAACGAACAATGTGGAACTGAATTTGTATTTATAAAGATAAATTAGATGATGATGATTAAACAAATTGTAATACTTTGAATGAATGATTAAAAATAAATTATATAACCTTTCTAATCATTTATTTATCTAATGTTAGAACAATACTAAGAAATATAATAACGAAATTGTGGTAATGAACTAACAATTATAAAAATCATTAGACATCTTCCGAAGAATTTAATCGTACTATTTTAATCCTCATGAGATAATATCGTTTTGATTTTTTTCTTTTTTTTTTAAGACTATAATTCTCATAGATCATCGGCAATGGCAATGATGATAATTCTATGAACGATTTGATGAATCAGCAAGGAGACTTATCTATTTGAAAAATATATTACGTAGTTAGTATTAATTTACATGACCGAGAATAGACACTTATAGACACATACAGATGTATTATTATATATTAACATAAATAAATATATTTTCCGCATTGTTTTCAAACAATGTCGATATTTTTTTACAGTTTTATTTTTTTCCCCTCTATTTTTTACATTTTTTGTTTCTTTGTTGTTAGTAATTTTCTTTTATTTTTTATTGTAAGTTTTTTACGAGAAATATTGTTGTTGCATTGTAAGCAATAAAAGTAACTTAGTGTTAAGGAGTCGTCATGTGCGTAGTTATTAATAATTTTTTTTTTGAATTCTCTTTTGATGAGTTTCTTTTTTTATTAACATCATTGATTTAATTAAGTATTCGAATTATGATCAAATTTAATGAAATTATTATTTTTTAATTTATTTAATAGATACACGTTACCTAAGTACGTTCCTTTTTGTAATCTTTATCGAAATTTTCATGAATGTATACACATATATACAATACATATATCGTTATACTAATACAATCGTTAATGTGTTAACAAGATTTTAAGTATTTTAACTTTAAACTCTAATAATACTATTGTAACAAATGTGTCGAAATTTTCATTTTTAATTAATTTCAAAATTTAGTTTACTGTTTTTTTTAATTGTTTTTTTTTTTTTTTTACATTATTTCAGATAATTTTTTGTTTTATCGTTCGTTCGGAAAGCTTTTCCGAAAAATTTAAAGATAATAATAATAAAAAAATAAAAAATAAAACGATATAGGATATTGCGAGTGTTTGTTTGTATTTAAGGGGACACGTCAACAAAAAAAATCGATTTTTTTCTTTTTCGATTTTCTGAAAGAATATTATTTCGAAAATATTTCTTCAAATTTTGGTAAAGATCCGCCCATTATTTACGAAACTGTAGTAGTTTAAACTCAGCGCGCCGTATCGCTCCAAGTAAGTGTCCAAAACTTTAAACTTTAATTTCTCCTATTCCCGTTTTTAACCCTTTCGCTACGGGACGGATCTCCGCCGAGGTACTCCGGCAGTACGGCGCGCTACATCGAAACAGTGCACGGTGCACGCAACGTTCGAGCCGGTGTCGTAAGACTTATGATCGAGGCATTTGGTTTATTATTGAAGCCCGTAAAAAACGAATGATGCAAAACGAAAGACTCATGCGGCATGTTTAGAGTGAGATACTCTGTGCATAGCAACTGCAGGCGCTTATCATATATACAATTACGCGACATCTTTAGCGGGAGCGACTATAGTCGCCCGTAGTACGTGAGCGGCATCACATGGAAAGCGACTATAGTCGCCCGTAGTACCTGAGTGGCATCACATGGAGAGCGACTATAGTCGCTCGTAGTAGCGAAAGGGTAAAAACGGTTGCCCTCGCTGCGTCCAGACCATTTATCCGATCCTTACCAAATTTTGTACAGTAATACTAGATACACGTATCTAGGGAATGAACGGAAGGATTTTTCGAAAAAATGCCAATCTTTTTTTCTTTTCTTAAAAACTCGGCGATTTTTCTGCAAAAATGTCAATTTTTTCGTAAAAAGTCGACTATTTTGAGAAAAATTAAAAAATCAAAATTTCCTGCCGTTCATTCCCTGCGCCAACATCTCTACTAAAGGATAACACTCGGTTTTTATGTTTCTGATGAACCAATTTTTGCCAGTGAGGGCAATCGAAAATCACCTTTTTTTTTTGGACTCTTAGAAAAGTGGCCACAGACGACACAATTTACAATATTTTTACACACAAAAAATTGTGAATATAGTTCAGATATATAACTGACATATGCCAACAATTTGTATTGATATTAATAAAACTGGCTGCAAGAAAAATTCACAAAAAAACCGCTTTTTTTTTGCACTCGAAGGTGACGTGTCCCCTTAAAAAGAAAATTATGTAATACGTATAGGTGCATATTTCCTGAGTAAGAAAAACAAAATATACATAAAAAAAAAAGTTAAAAAAAACTCTTAGCATATGAGAGTAAGCAATTACGTTCATTATTTATTGTGTCATGTATATATATGTATAGTATATATATACTAGACTTCTCCGGTCAAGTGTTGCTGTGACTTTGTTATAAGACATTGATTTAATATAGTGGGTTTTTCTATAAGTTTTGCGGTTCGATAAGAAAAACACAATTTTATGGTTTAAAATACACTTTATTATCGAGTATAGTCTCCCTGAACATCAATACACTTGTTCCAACGAGATTCCAAATTATGAATTTCATCCCTGAAGTGAGAATCTGGAAGGGCTGTAAAATACGCTTCCACAGCTGTTATGACCTCATCATGTGATGAAAAACGCTTTCCACGCATGATTTTTTTTTAGGTCTGGAAACAGATGGAAGTCTCTAGGGGCTAAATGTGGTGAATACAGTGGATGCTTCAACAATTCGAACTTTAATTCATGAATTTTAGCCATTGTCAAAATGGCTCTTGTGACACGGTGTATTGTCCTGATGAAAAAGGATTTTTTTATTCTGAAAACCGGGTCATTTTTCACAAATTTTTTCCTTCAGCTGGTCTAAAAGGTTACAATAATATTCAGAATTTATTGCTTTACCAGTTTGCAAGTAATTCACAAACAAAATTCCTTTCGCATCCTAAAAAACTGATGGTAACACCTTCGCCGATTTCTGGACACGAATTCGTTTCGGAGCCGAAGAACCAGGTTTACACCACTCTTTAGCCTCTTGTTTTGATTCAGGATCATGGTGATAGACCCAAGTCTTATCCATAGTGATGAATCGACGCATAAAATCCACTTTATCCTTTCGAAAACGCTCTAAGTGTTGCTGAGAAAGTCGCATTCGAATGTGTTTTATTTCCATTGTTAGCGAATACGGCACCCATTGTGCCCACAGCTTTTTAAAAACCAATACTTCAGTCAAAATATTGCTTACACTGCCCAATGAGATGCCTAAGGCTTCTACTAAATATCTTTCAGTCACTCGATGATTTTCAAATATGATATCCTGTATTTTTTCTACGATTTCCGGTGTTGTTGCTGTTTTTGGACGTCTGATTGAAGACGAAGAGTCCTTATACACTTTCAAAATTCGTTCATAAATTTCCTTTGCTTTTAAACATTCCAAAAATAAAAATTCAATCATTGCACGATACTTGATTTTTTCAATGTAAAAAAATACTGTTACACGTCGATACTAAATGGCTTGTAAACAAAGAATGAATTAACAAATTAAAATGAAACTTTACATACGTTCATATGAAGAGTGTACCAACATAACAAAAAAAAATTTAGGCTAGTAGCAACCTCCGCTCTTATCGAACCGCAAAACCTATTGGACAGCCTAGTAGCTCTAAACAATTTAATACAATGAAATTAATATTCACTAATAATTTCTGGGAATTCAAATTAGGCATAAAACAACATAATATTTTTAATTTATACAATGTATAATATATAAATAATAACACACAAGATAATACCACAATTAGAATGGAATACATAAAGTAATAATACAWTAAAAAATAGAAAAAGTAAGGWTATGTTSTATATAAATTAGAAAAAAACGTATGAGACGTGAATATATTGAAATAATTGAATTGTAATATAGTGCCTTCTATTGAAAACTTTCAGTAACTAAAGATAGTTTCAGTTCATATATAATATAATATATTGTATAATATTTTAATTCCTTATTTGAAAACGTTTCGATACATTATATAACATCTGGTATCTTATAAATAGATAATTATTGTAATTTGCAATCTGTTAAATCAGTAAATGGTTTTTTCTTTATTATACACAACATTTTGTTATAACTAATATTTATGTATACAGACGGCTTAAACGTGATACTTTTTTAAAATTATTATTTCATTTCATATATAAATATGTAACAAAAGAATATATTTCAATGAAAATATATATTTTATGATTTTGTTAATTTTTGCTTTTTCTTCAGGAAAATTATTTCGGTAAATAATGATTTGTATATAAAAAGAAATTTTCTACAAATTTCGAGATAATAATAATATTAATAATAATAATAATAATAATATATGTATTTGTAAAAATATTACATTAATTAGTTACTGTCATGTACAAATGTATAGGTTTTTCATTCAATATAACAATTAAAAAAAACAGTAAGATGACAATAATTTATAAAAAACAAATAACAATTTTTTCTTTCAAAATACCAATTACAAAATATATTGAACTAAGATTAATAATTAATGCAAAGTAGCAATTTTAAGAGTTATTTTCAAAGTTTTCAATGCGTTCAAAATTGATTTAGTACTAAGATTTACGGTTTTCCTTTGCAGAAGTTCACTTTTGATATTTTTTAATGTAATTGCTGGACTGCGTTCTATTATTAATTAAATTTATGTGTTAAAACTTCGTCGGACAGTTTGAACATTTTTTTACAAGCTCGTTTTCTATTTAAAAAAACAGCAGCATCATTTTTGTAACGTCTCAATACATTAGAGGCTGTATTTTTATTAATAACTGATATTTGCGCTGACTCGATTATTGTTTTACCTTCTTTATATAGTTTTATTAAAATTTCTTTTTTTTTTTTCTAAACCTATCTTGTTGTTTATTGTTGAAATACGATATCTTTTCCGTTCAACAACAAAATTTTCTACACTTTCATCACTACTGCTATCAAAATCATTACTTAATTCCATAATTCTACCATAATTGGATCTCGTTGAGGACGTATTGTTTAAGTTACTGTTTAATTCATTATAAACATTGTCCATTTTATTAATTGGTGAATCACCTCATTTAATCTAATCAATGGAGAACTTAGTAACCAATAATAAATACCGATGATATCAATGATAAATAGTTATCATTCGTATAAGCCCATTGGTTGACAAGATATATAAATATATGTTTTTTTTATGAAGATGTCTTTTTCTAATTTTGTTTTATTAAATTCTAAAAATACTGACAGGTGTGTAGCGGACGTAAATCAAATGCATTTTTTAATCAAATTTATTTATTTTTAAAGTTTATTATTTTCTGACATTAATTCCATAAATACTGTTTTAAATATGACTAC